AAATGTCGAATTATTATTACCATGTGATATCCTGTTATTTGAACAATAATGAAACCCCACAGCGCCATATAAGAGGGTCGGCAAGGGGTATTTTTGTAAGCTGTAATCAGTTGTTTTTATTTCTTAATGGAATTTATATAAATAAAAAACTTAAATTCGTAGACACGGACAAGGTGTAAAATGTAATTAGGAATTTGCTTTATCTGTAAAGTGTAAAAACCTATTTTTTACTGTAAATGGAAATTTCATTATTTCCTGTAAAAACGTAAAATGCATTTTTTTATTTCCTGTCTTAAACGGGTCCATCTTAAACGGGTGTAAGCTTTATAAAAAACAATTCAGATAAGTCATCCTAAAAACTACATTCTCAAAACACGAAGTACTAGTACTTCCCTTCATGTGAGAAATCGCGCCCTCTATCGATGCATAGCGCTTGGCAATGTGTAGCAATCCCAGAAAGTCGTGTTTTCGGGCTTGATGGGAGGTTTTCTTTCTTTCTCGCTTCAATCATAGTTTACTATGCCATGCCATGAACATACAATAATATTTCGTTCGCCACAATGACAGAGACACGCTTGAGTTGCGTGACTTCGAATGCGACGAGACACTTTGTGATGTCACCGTGACAGAGACGTGGTAGATGCCTCTATTTTTCGATTTATAACTCGACAAATGGTCTGGAGCAAGATTGCAGGAACAATTTAATACAATATTGTCGATTACCAACAGCCCACAATGAAAACAAACAATACCGTTACAGCTGACTGACGTCGACCATCGTCTAGTTAGACGCGAACAGGAGACATTTAAGGTGAAAATGGAATGAAAAAGAAAGCGAGACTAAAATTTAATTTGAAGGTAAACACATGCTTAGAGAGAATTAAACATCATTACATGATTGATACTTTTGGATCTAATTTGATATACGTCAATCGCGCCCAATTTTTTACCAGCACTTTGCTGCAGATTATGTTGATGGAAAGGTTTGTATGATTTGCAAAACGAACTATAGAATATTATTTTCTGTATGAATATGAATATGTGAAAATCATCTAAGAGTCTAGTAGTCGTGGTTTCGTCACTTGGAACTGAAAAGATAATGTCTTACAGTACGAGTAGAGCGCTACCACATCTACGTCATCCATGCCTTGTGAAAAAAAAGATTTTGTGTCACGGTCGACAGCGACCATTAACACAGGCCATATTAAAAGTATATTAATAGATCTGGATATTTTGTAAAAATTTCTCCTGGGAATGTGCTAACAACATGGAACCAGAATATTATAAGTATGGGTCTTATTTTTGAATACTAGTATGGCAGGTATATTATTCTGTCGTATTATGTAACCGTTTTATGTTTTGGTTTGCCTCAACCACCTTTCCCCACGATGAATCAAATTCATACAAGTTACCTAAAATACTATTTCAAATAATGTTTACCAAACCGTTGCATGCTGGGTATGTGCATTTTACAATAAAAATAAATGTGAAAATATTATAGTTTTGAAACTGGGACCTGACGAAACTGACGGGCCGTTTAGAAAGCCTGTCTACATAAACTAGCGACTCTAACTGTTAGAAATGTCCTAGGCGCTTTCGTGGAAATGAAGGAAATATTTGAATAGCTATTTTGTAAATTGGCGTTTTCTTCAAGCTTTACATTTAACTTTTTTGATATTTCACGAACATTATGTGAAAAAAGTTAAGGACAACTAGTGTGTATATAATACAAACATCAAACTGTTCATTGCAACACTGAGTATTCATGCAATGTCACGTCATATCAACCGTTTGTATACAGAGTTGACACTGACACGCGGGCGTAACGTAGCAACAAGATAATCATATATAGTCAATCATACTACCACCCGGATGAAAATAAAATCACAGAAAAATGTTGTAATTATGCTTGCATTTTTTAATAATAACAATACATGCGTTATTTTGAAAATTATTAAATGACAAAACGTATTATTATTATATCAGATCTTCCGCAAATGTTTCCACTACTATCAATTAACCAGTCACGTGGTCCAATGCGATCTGTAAAATAAGAGAGTAGTGATTTATATTATTCAGCATACATGTTTCATAGGTCAATACGAATTCTTCGCGATGATTCGAAGTGTTTTTAACTGTGGCACATTTTTATCTGAGAAAAGTGGTAAATGACTCACCTTGCTGTTTTCTTCTTCATCATCTTCTGCCACACCCATGATTCCATCCTCACTTTGTTTCAATTCATCTGTATCAATGGACGTTACATCCACTTTTAGAACAAGTTTTGTCTGACCACTTCCATCTCTGTCATCGGAGAAGACTCTCACTCTCGCACCGAACTCACCATCATCAATCACTCTAGAATTGTCACATAGTTGATACAGTTCCTCCACTGGTACGTACACCCCACCAATAAGCACAAGGCTGTCTTTGTGACAAGAATCATTATTTCTATCAAGTCCTTTGACATTAACGTCAACGAACAGTAACACTGTTTCCCTTGCCATCCTTATCTCGTTCATAACTGTGTCAGCCCTGTCTTCTGTTTTTCCTACAGTATCGACGTCCATCTCGTCACCCGCCTTTATATATCCTCCTATTTTCTCTTTCTTTTTTCGGATTATATCTATGTTGACCCCAAAAAGCACCTTCAGAAGTTCTGAAACATTGTCACGATTCGTCACCTCTTCAACCTCAGCAGATATACGTGTCGTTACACGTGCTTTAGGGAAATCACGGCAGAGATTGAGAGTAAGCTCTTTGTCAGAGTCCTTGTTGTTTACACGCACGATTTCTTTATCATCCTCATCCCGTACTCTTCCGTGAACTTTTACAGCAATAAACACATCGGGATCTACCACATCCACCGATTTGTCACTCTCATCTACGATGTCATCTTCTATCTTTTTCTGAGCATCCAAATTGCGTCTTCGCTTACAGTACAAATAATAGAGTGCTCCACCAGCAGCAACCGCCAAAGTAGTTACGATTGCACAAGTTGCCTTCCTCATGATGTTGGGGTACGACTAGTCTGTTATTTCAAGTACAAATTACACTTCTGAAAATATATATGAGAAAATAAAATTACTTAGTTGAAGCAGTAAAACTCACATTATAGATGGATCCATTTGTCGACAATTTGTACGCTCCCATACCGGTGATTTCCGGCCCAATTCGAAACCAAATCTCGTATTTGAGCTGTGATACCGAGTCGGGTCAGCTTTTGACAGAAACACTTGAAATAACGTGAGAACAGTTGTGCGTTATCAGAATGTTTTTACAAAACAAACTTGATTTTTAACTTTTATAATAACATTCATATATTTTTTAATACAATCGATAAACATACAAATATTTTCACATGATTCATTTACAGTTGAACATGAAGTTGCAAATCGCCGTTTAAGTAACACAGTGTATGTGAATACGACTACCATATGGTTTTTCATCTGCCGACCTTAAACATTACTTTGTACCTCAGGGTACAATATAAATTGGGAGCATTCATAGCGTGCTACCGGATCAAATTAAATGTATTTACATTATTTTATAAGTAATGAAGTGCCAAAATACAATACAGCAAGAGAACGATCATATCCAATTTTTATGGGAGATAATTCATATTTTTCAACTTCAAGTGATACTGATAAGTTTATGAACATTTTTAAATCTGATAAACAAATGGTTCATTGTGAATTCAGTTCTATTTGCTATGCAATGCTTGCCAGAGTATGTAGATAATGCGAACAAGTTGTTTGTAATGTAATAAATGTTGCATATTTTATATACCAGAGGGGAATATTAAAACCTACTCACAAGTTGCAGCTGCACACGAATCTGACAAACGAGAGATTCCATGTTACTACAACACAGCCGCGTTCTGGCGTTCGAACGTGTATTGTGTACGCGCGCGTATCCCATTGGTTAGTCAACTCCGACGTCACTCCAAGTGGCAGGAAGCACGCCACCAACGCGCGCGTATCCCGTACAAAAATTGCCCTGAACTATGTATGAAGTGTGAAGTCAAATATAATAATATTATTTTGTTGAAAATAACCCGTGCTTAAAAAATGCATGCAAAGTGTAATACATGTAATGTGAATTTTGAATCAACTAATAGCGCATTATGTAGTAAAGTTTCTCAGGCTAGGGAGTTCGCATATACATGACAGTGAAAACTGTAATTCTAAAAGGGGTTCTTCATTTGAAAACTAGGGTGGGAAACTGTTATGTATGATTCGTAGAAAGCGTGGACCGGTGACCGAAAACCGTTACATTAGCCGGGAGTACAATAAACTGTAATTTAGATAATACTACTTTATTTTTATTCTGAAGAATAATTATTTAAAATTACAGATGGATGAGTAGATGGCTGATTTTGTATTAGACAAGCGCCATCATTGTTGAGATTGATTGATATTAAAAACAAAATAAGTATGTATTTAAAACACTTGATGGCGTAGGACGTAAGCCCGGGCGCAAACGAAAAGCACTCTTGCGCCACAACGTTTTATGTCATAAGTTTGTTAATATATTGCTAATCTAAAATATGTATGCTATATTATGAGAATGATGTTTTTTTAACAGCGGTTTTATCTCTACAAGCGACATTATTCTTTCACTGGAGAAATGTCAACAACACACTATCTAACATTAAAAAACATGATTTGTTGGTTGCAGGTTCTCTACTCCAGGAAAATGCATGTTGCTGAACGATTGCATGTGTTTATTTTCTTTAAAAAATGACGAGACAATCACGTTAAGTACCCGATGGCAGTTGCCTCGATTTCAAGAATTACGAAGATTATCATTCGAAATAGACATCTAAATTGTGTACGGAGTGTGTTTACTCGACGAAACAGAAGGCACCCGAATGAGAACATGAGTGGGGATGGGGCGGCAGCAACATGCTTTTTACAAGTTGTGGGGTCGGGTCCGGCACATGCTCCGCCAGCCTTATTTCTTTTCACCGATTTCACCAAGTAAGTGTTAAAATAAAGCAATTTATAAATCATTATTAAACCGTCAATTAGGAATTGAAAGTAACTTCAACATTTTAACAAAGATGTCAACAAATCTAGTAGTAGTATTTATTTTGCTATCAACGGCATAGGCTTTTTGTCTGTCATATGGGTATCGTAAAACACAGCACAGTCGACTATGATACCGAGAACCATATCAGGCTGAATTGAAACAGACTGTCAAAAAAAACACGGTTGTTTATATGATCAGTTAATCCACATAAACCTTTCTTTAGAAACATACATGTAATATTTCTAAGGATACAATAAAGTTATAATAATAATTATAATGTATCTGCTACCGTAACGCCGTGAGTTACAGCATGCTGTAATTTTGCATTATTGCACTGGGTATTTTCATCCTACCATATTAAAAAATGCGAATTCCAAATATGGAACGATTATGCACATAACTGTCCTCCAAAACAAACATGACAAGCTAAGGTTTGACGAGACCACACAAAAAAAAGTTTGCAAAATCTGTTGGAAACTTTTTGGATTATGTATTCTTGGGCGGAAAAGATGTATAATAATAAGGTTAATAAGTATGCAGTACAACAGAAGTCTGTTGATGCGACCATATACTGTCTGAGTGCATACTTTGCAGTATCCTTTTATCAACCTCATATTATTATTATTACATATTCAATGGGACTCAAAACTAATTTCTTGTATATATAATTGAGAAGGATGCCTCAAAATTGGCCAATTATCTTGTGGGAAAACAATGAATGTTTTGATGTTACATTCAAGATGGTGACCATCTCACCATAACCACCAGTGTTTTTCACCTCATGACTTGCATAAATTACATATCACCACATTGTGACATAATACACGGAAGATCAAAAATTCATATCATCACAGTGTGACATCACATACATGTACTACAATACTTTTTTTCATTGTACACGCTGCCGAAAGGTTGTCCAGAGCTTCCAGGTTTATGTATGGTCTGATAACCACGGATTCTGGTAGCAGTGTCTTATTTTGTCACACTCATGTGTGTATTTTTCGAATTATTATTCAGCCTCTTCCGGAAAATTGGTTGAAATTAAAAATCCAAATGAATTGGAGTAGAGCCGAGCAGAATCGTCACACAGTGCAGTGTTCTCTTAAAATATTGAACTGTCAAAACTAATCTGCAAACTACCGTAATAAGCATTAAATGTACATACTAATTAGCAAATTATTTTTCCTCTGAACTTAAGATTTTTTTTTGTATTTAATATTTTTGTGCCAAGTGACAGTTCGGGACATTGAATGTCACTTGCTGACATACAGTGAATTTTTGCCAGCAAAACCATATTCCAGTTTGGGACTACGTGACATTGCATTGCATGTTTTTCTATGCACTATCTAAAATACTGACCCCAATTTACATTTGCATAAATATTACTTGCAACTCACTGATAGCATCAGGGGCACACAATGATATATTTGTGCATAACTTCCACTGTCAACTTCTCCATCCTTTTGCTATTTTTGAAAATGTACATGTGATGAAACTACAATTCCACACTATTTTCTCTTAGGTTGATCGCAACTGATTCTCGCCTGTGGTAATCACTGTGCCTGCTAATGTCAACCTAAGAAAAAAAATTAAATTCTATTATATATAAATATTGCATTAAGATTGGTTCAGTATAACATTGGTATGGATTAGTGCTCTGTGGTTTCACAATCGTCCACTATAGATGAAATCTAGCTTCCTGATGATAAAAAAATACACTATGACATGTTTGTTTTTGTTACATTGCAGTCGTTATTTAATAAATTGTGGTGAAGGAACACAGAGAATGATGACAGAACACAAGTAAGTATACTCAAATGTATGCTAAAATGTTTTTTTAATTTTATTTAGGCCAGACTTTTATTATCCCTTGTTTCGCAAACCCGCCGAATGAACAGGAGCCGAAAATGAAATAAAAATAAAGTTTTATTTCAGCCAGCCAACTTGTAAGCACAAAAAAATGCTAAAAAAATATTATTTTTATCTTCATTTTTTTACCGCCCGCCACATAACAAATCCAAGTTGCATTTTCGTGGGAGTATCATGATCAAAGTAACCAAGTCTCGCGCAGATGAGAAGCAAGGTTATACATGGAATAAAATTTTATTTCTGATCATTTCTTCTCTCCTATCAATGATCTCACTTACAATCCTTTGAAAATCACACAAATCTAATGGAAAAAAGAGAATTAATTTTATTTATTTTTCGCCTTATAAAAACTTGAGAAACAGGGAATAAAAATAGTCTGGCCTTATCCTCTATCTGGTGAAGTCAATGTAAAATTACATGCAGCTGGCAGAATATGAGTTCAATTTTCATACTGAATAGGGCTTAGCTACATTTTAATTGTTCTGAGCATGAATACACCAATTTTAATTAAAACCCTGTAAATTTGCAAAGTTAACCATAGCATATATACATGTTACAAACTAGTGAATTTAAAACCTAGTGAATATCTGTGTAACATCAAATCTGCTGATGTGAGTACAAATGATGATGCTTCAAAAATAATATTTATGTATTTGTTTCTCAGGATGAAGCTTTCTACTTGTGATACTATTTTTCTCACAAGCTTAAAATGGAGCAGCATTGGTGGTTTAGTAGGTAAGATATTAAATCACATTCTACTCACTGAATTCTTTGCACTGCTCTATTACCTTCACATCAAATCATTGAAATATTCAAGCATAGATTCAGTCTGGACGTAGTGTTTACTCATTAAAGCAGTATCATTCAAAATGACACATTTTAGCAAAGATATTACTGTCACCGCCATATTTTTCTGAATACCAAAACAGCAGCATAGCCAGCTAATTTGCTGACTGGTTTGCAATGCACATCTCAAGATCATTAACCGCTCAGTTCAAACCATTTTTACAAGGTATACATATATACGATTGTTAGGAAATATTCATGTACTGTGTTACTTAGTACATACTTTTATTTTGATAACTTTGCTATTTATTATATAGTAATTTATATGATTAAATGAAGTAAATTAAAAGGCAATAGTAATGTGATCTTCTATTTATATTCTATTTATGCATGTGTCTCAGTTCCTCATTATTAGTTTGACATTTCATGTTGAGGTTTGTCACGTGCTACCGTCACGTGGGGAAGAGGCAAGTGTAGCTCGACGAGCCCCCAGTCAATCAGAGTAATTCAAACAAGCGACAAAACAAACCAGAGTTACGTATATGCCTGAATAGAACGTACTAGTTTATAGAAGTTAGATAGAATATATATATATATATGCAATACCAGAGAGATGTATGGTTCGCGTCTACAGAACATCAATCAACAATAATAATCTACTCAAAAATTAATTACATAATAAGCGCTAAATACTTAAATACAAATATGCTGAGCACTGTGGTAGTTAACGTAAAATGGTGGGCATAAATGTCATTTGCTATACGTAAATTACTTAACTACAGTCAGTTCATTGTTCACACTGGAAACGAAGTAGGCTGTAGAACTTCTTAGCGTATACTTGGTTTTGTAGAGGCGGCGCACACTAGTCAAGGTTGCTGTGATTTTCAGGATTTTCACAATCTTTTCCGTTGGTGCGTTCGTAGATGCCGGTGCACAAAGCCAGTTGACTTTTGGACAGGAGGAAGGCAAAGATGTGAAAGTATCTTGAAAACAGGTGCAACCAATCGCCACGGAGTGCCTGACCACGTGTAATCATCAGACAACGCCCAAAACGTCCAGCTGCTGTTCAAAACAAAATCTACCACAGTACTGAACTTCAAACCACATGACTGCTCTATTTATACTCAGAGAACTCCCTAAGTGTAGCATATATCATACTATGGCTCAAATTGTCAGTGCATATGCAAATCAGATGAACATAAGAAAGAACAATGACCAGTGAATAAATATATATAAACTCAAAAATACATTTCTACAAGATCAAATATTGAAATATCGTCACAAGGTTGGTTTAACCTAACTTGTTAAAATCACGCAGCGATCTCTAGATGTGCATAGCAAACCAGTCAGCAACTGGCGATGTTCCTGTTTTGGGTGTTCTGAACAATATGTTGATGACAGTAACCACTAAAAATGTCACATGTATCTAGGCATGATATATTTGTTGGTTTAATAGAGTTGCCAGGAACAACAGCTCTGTTTACCAGATTGATTGGTTACAGTAGCTCATCATATAATACACTTCATTCTGTTTGCAGGTATGACTTTAACATTAAAAGATATTAAGATGAGAAAAGCTACATACTATGGCCCTTCTGGACTGGTAAGATACTGTTAATTTTATTTTTGGAGTCTTGCTATATGAGTATACAGTGTTTTAAAGTGGAGGAGTTGTCACCTGTGCACATTTAATTAGGGAATTTAGCCACAAGAGAAGATAACAATAAATGCATGCATGTGTTGACCCTTGATGTAAACAACGACATGTTATGGCCGTGTGTTGTATGTGAGGTGAAGACTCCCCCCACTATAAGTAGGAAAGTGTGGTCACTGACTTGATGTAACAAAACCATGTTACATGTATGTATAAAAACCAGAAAGTGATGTTTTAATTAAGCATCTGATTTTCATAATTAACTATTATAACTTGATCCTGAATGAATTAGTCTCTGACACAATTAAATTTTATCGAACGCAGACAGTTGAATTTGTACAATTTATAGTTTGGTCAACTTCTGTCACTTTTCACAAAATAAACCTACATAATTATTTTGATATTTTTTTGCAAATGTTAAATTATAATATTATAAATTTGAAAAAAAAAATTTAAAATTCAAAATTATGTCCATTTGTTACAAAATTAATATAATTATAGAAAACCACATAAAATATACAAATTGTTGCATTTTAGCGGAAAAAAGGTCAAAGGTAAAAGTGTAAACTGTCAAATAAATGCAATAGAGAATGGAGCTTAATTGTAGTCCTTTACATTATCTAGCCCTAGGCCTGACTAGATAGGTTGAAATCTTACAATATTTTATATGAAATAATTTGTAATGCTTTTACCCTGTTGATTTTTTTTAGTCTGAACTACTGTCAGCTACTAAAGCCTTTGCCAGACTTGCCGAAATGGAAATTGGTGAGTATGTACATTGCAAAAAAATGATTAGTCCGAGTCCAGATTCAAAGACAAAATATGCGATGTATCTGAGCCTGAAGACTACAATTGGACTGTGGGAATAGAATGGTAAATTCTGCAAAAATGTAGGGTTGACATATTCTCTAGGCACTTTATGTACAATACAGAAAACATCACTGAACACAATGCTAAAGTTTGTTACACAACTATGGTAAATACGTTACCAGAAAACCCAGAAAATAATAATAATACAATGTATGTAACAAAATGATGGCAGGGGTGGTTATCTGAGTTTTGTGGAGCTCAGTTTAAATGAATGTTGAAATAGGGAAATCTCTATTTCGCACAAAATTATTTTATATAGGAAAAATTAAGTTGGCATATACTGCATTTGCTCTATTATTAGCACGTACACTTTTGTAAATTACAGTGTGTTTCAGTATTTTTATGATCGAAAAAACCAATATTATTATACATCTGTCGCCGTAACGCCATAAGTTACCTACAGAGTGTCGTAATTTTGCGGTATTTTATGGGTATTTTCATCCTACCATATTAGGATATGCAAATTCCAAATATGGAATGATTACGCATGTAAGCGTCCTCTAATAATAAAAACAAATATAGCTGCCACCAAGGTTTGACCGGACTCCACACAAAGAAGTTTGCTGATTCTGTTCTAATCATTTTGGATTTCGGCATTCCCATGATGTATCCTTGGAAGGAAAAGATGTATAATAATAAGGTTACTGTAAAATGACTAATTTTCACTGGGTTTAAATTTCACTGATTTACTATTTCAGGCATATTCAGTGGGTTTTAAATTCACTGTTTTATCATTTAGATAATGTGTTCTATGCTAAATTTTACATATTCACTGGGTTTTAATTTAGCGCATTTTCCAGTCAGCGAAATAAGCTAAATTAAAACCCAGTGAATAACTACTACCCCCTTTACAGTATTACGAGGATTCCTCAGAGTATGCACTCCGACAGTACACCATCGCATTGACCTCCACTGTACTGTCTTCGTGCATACTTTGAGGTATCCTTGTAATAACCTCGTATTATAGTGATTCAGTATACATGTACAAACTATGTGACCTGAAGTTGCGGTATATGGGCTTCTATTGGAGATGCACTTATAATAGGAAAAATGCTGTAGCTTCTAAAATGTTACTGTCATTAACGGTACCAGTTCAGCTGAAATAATTTTACTGTTTTATTTTTTTTTTCATTTAATCACAGATTTT